CTGCAAAATATATTTATGTACAATTGGTTATAGGTGACAGCTCTATTGATCTAAAAGCTCACTCAGAGCAATCCTGAATGAATCTTCAGTTTGTATAAAACCGATATTTGCAATTTTCATTAAACCTCACAGTTAAAAAAGAATAGTAGGAAAGCTGGCTTCGGTTCAGAAACTAGCTGATAGTTTAAAACCACAAACAAATTTTGTCTGAAACTCGGAATATTACAACACATAATAAAGGATGGATCCATCTTCTTCATCCTTTGCCTTCGGTAGGGGGGGGGGGGTGATACAGGTGGTGCCGTGTGACGTGGATGGGTGTTTCTCTGGAAGAACCGGGGTTTAGTGGAAATGGTGAGTGCCTGGAGTCATGGGGTGTATTTCGCCTGTGTCTGCGGAGCCGTCATTCCTCTGCTGTGCTTGCCAACAGGGTGTGTGTTCTTGTGGAGTGATGTGTAATCCTCTCCACCAGAACATGGAAGCATGACTTCAAGAAGTTTTTAGTCTTTAGAAAAAAGAAGCGTGTTGCCTATCCAAAGTTAAATGGTTGCATGTGGGAGAAAAATGCTCAAATGTTTTCTTGAAAGTCTGAAGCTAAAATGGGGAATACAGTGTAACTGGGGAGAAGTCAAGCTGATGATGATCTATTCCCTTTCCTCTTGCAGCTGGAAAAGTTGAGAATGAGCACGTTGATTTAAAAGCAGTTTGTGGATATGGCTTGTTTTCTCTTTTATTTATTTGAATGTTAAATACTGCTGGAGAGTACAGTGTGAGCACATGGGAGAGGGGAGCATTTCTATAAAAGTTCTTCAGTGTTATAATCCTAGTTTCTGCTTCAGTGGGAATGACTGGGAACTTTGGTGAGGATGAAACTTAGTCCTAGAGGAAATAAATTTCTCTTAATTTATTGGATCTTAATGAAGATCTATTAAATGAATCTTAAGGGCAGGGGATGTTTTTCATGTCTCTACAACTCCTGGCATGCGGGTGGCCTGTTCCCCATGTGAACATTTAGGTTCAGTTTAATAAAATGAATAATAATAATACTAAGGTCGTATGCCCTTTTCTAATGCTGAATGACAGTTGTGAAGATCTCTGAGAAAACTCTGAGTGTGTGTCATACTCTCTGAGTATGGACAGGTCTTGGGAGTGTTAAAAGCAGAGGGAGAGTTCTGTCTGCGTCACGACTCCTGTCAACTTCTCTGAGTTGGTGTGCTGGGAGCTCCTGGCACATAGTAGCAATTAATCTTAACCGTTGGCTTAAGAGCTGGAGGAGAACGAAAAGGGGGGTCAAAGTGAGATGTTCTTCATGGATCCCTAGTGGGAAAGCATGCAGAACTTCTTAAAGTAGAGCTGCAAGCAGCTTAGCCAAATAACAATTGAACTATAAAGCGGAGGTCTCAGTTTTGGCCAACGATGCTGAATTTGTCCTGTTTCTATAAAGGCCCAAAGCTGAGTCTGCAAGGAGCTCATTAATGTCCTATCTAGGTCCATTCAGAATCAGGTGCAGAGCTCAACACAGCAAGGCCATTTTGGGAGTTCTGAAGATTGTCTGCATCACACATGCAACGAGCCTAGTCTTGATGTGCTGGTGATATAGAGTCATTCTGCATGTCATGATGCATATGACTCGATCAGATAGGTTTAGTGTCAGATCTATTGTGCATTACCTTCCTGCCGTCTTTCAAAGCATAGGCATTGTCATTTAAGTATGAACTTGCTTGAACTTCTCTGTAACTTCACAAGTATCTCACTGATGTAAATTATTCTGATATTGCCAAATCCTTTTCTTATGAATGTGAGAGTCATGCTGAGTTTGACACTTTGTTGGGAAATCCTAAGCTTTCTCTTGGCAGCATAATATAAAGGTACAGTTCCTGCCCAACAACAGTGCTTGCATTACTGAGAAGAATGGACATCTGGATGCATTGACAGGTTTTCATTCTGTTTTTGCTTTCCATGCATCACGTATTCAGCCTGCTTTCTGAAAAGATGCAGTTTATTGGAAATGGTTAAAATTTTGAAACAGCATTACAAGGTTTTGCATGTAAGCTAGCAATTACAACGTCTTATGTGCGAACAAAATTTTTCATACCTGTCATAACTCATACCATTTGTACCTTAGAGAGGTCTTGAATTATAGGAGAAAAAAGGAAAGAGAAGGAGAAGAAAATGGCAATACTGGATCTAGGAGCACAGGAATCTGATATTAAATCTTTAATTTCTGCCCTGCCATGTTACAACAAAATTCAGTCAAAATTTGTGAAGCACTGGGGTACCACTTGTCTAAAGCTTATGACTGATTTACATCCTGTCCCTTCCCAGGCCTTGTGGAGTCGTGGCACCATTCATGTTTCCTTTAAAGATCCTCCCATATTAGCAGATCAGTGCTCTGTAGCTCTTGGAAATCTGTGGTCTGGAGCCTGTAATCTAGAGGAAGGCTTTCTGAATCCTGGGCAGTTTCACGCCAATGCTCTGGCTTCGTGCTGACAGCCCTCTTTGTAAGCAAGGCACACGCATGCAGGCAGAAGATCTGTGCTGGCAATGGCGGGGGGCAGATGTGCAGCACTGCAGAGTAAACTTACTGTGGGTGACTGATGCTTTTCTTCTTTGTTGCTCCCCTGTGGACCCAGAGGTACAAGTACTGTATACCTCTCTGGCCATTCAATATTTGCTCTAATAAACATACTACTGAAAGCAAACAGGCAAAACAAATATTGGGAAGGCTTCAGAAACTGTGGAGGCAATGTAAAGGAGAAATTAAATGAGGGTGAACTTGGAAACAAATCAATATCATATTATATATTTATATAATTTATATTATTTATACATTTATATATAATATAAATTTTTTTTAACAGACCAGTTTTTTGTCAGAAAACACTAATCCATTGAAGAAGCGACATTTTTATAGGAATGTGGTAGGTGAGGGAAAACTTCTTTTAGAAAACATTCCATATATCTAAGGTTATTCTCTCTTTTTGCCTGATGGTCATGACATACTACTGGGCTATGAAAATTACCGTTTAAGTTCTTGGTCTGGCTTCCTCTTGCAATCCATGCTCCTAAGTGAATACTGGCTGTTCTGCTGCTGGACCTGATTCATACTGTGTAAATTATTTACTGGAGCAGGAACTCAGAGCTGGGTTTTCTTCATACTGGGTGAGTGGTCTAACCATGTGTCTGTAGGCAGCACCTCTGCCTCTTTATATGTTTATGAAAACTGGAATAACTCCTGTAAAAGAAACAGAGAGATCCCTATGTCCACAGCAGCCTGGGAAATCACCTGAAATATATAAGAATTGGGAGATAGGGGGATGACAGCTAAGGCCTTTAGTGTGCGTCCTCTAATTATGCTCCCTTTCCATGAGGAATGTAATCGAAAGGGTTTATTCTTGTTTTGATTCAGAATGCAATCTTTCTTTTAGGTCTGGGATTCAAAATGTTGTCTGCCTCTCCTGTCCTCCATGTTTGAGCAGAGCTCTGAGTTTCCTTTCTCACCAGCTTTATCTGTTGTTGTCTTGTGGTTTTTATGTGTTTCCTAGACAAATTGGCTCATAAATTGGAATTCTGAATGAAATTTAACTTCAGTTTTGCAGTGGTCAGGAAGATGCTTTTCATGAGTCTTGGTGGCAGAGTGTGCATGTAAATGTGGGGGGTTTTCTCCCCTTTTCTTCAGCCTAGCATGAGGTGACAACGAAAAGTTTCTTTTCCTCTTACTGCTAACAATCCACACGTTGATGCCTGATAGGAAATATACTGCTCTCAAGGCTACCATATTTTTCATAAGTATGCACTGTGGGTTATCTCTGGCTTGAGAGTTTTGTTTGTTTTTAAACGCGGGCCAAGTCAAACCCTGCGGTTTAGCAGCAGTGTGTATTGCGTGTGTAGGGATAATAGTAGAGAAGTTTTATTCCAGGGTTCCTTCCTCAGTAGTATCCTGGTCTCTCGTGGCTTGTTTGCTCTGTGGATATGAGTTATCATCTGTGAACTTTTTTTTTTTAAAAAAAAAAAAAAAAAAAAAAATTTT